CTAAGAATTTTTCCCAAGCACAAATAGTGGGAATTTAAAAAGGGACTTTAAAAAAAAAAATTACTATATGTCTCAGAGATTTTCGTAAGGCAAGTAAAAGTAGGTGTTTTCGTGTCTTTTTTTTTTTTTTTTTCAAAAATGTGGTTACACCTTTGTTTTTCTGCCTTTTTGAATTGTTTTTTCCCCCCTTTTGTAATTGAATCTTGTCTTTTCCCAAACTGTAATCTCTTCCCCCCGCCCAATTTTTCGATGGCTATGCTTTTTATTAGAAATTGTCATCCTGCCTTAATAAGCACACAAAAAGAAATTTGCTTTTTGCTTTATTTGTGTAATAGATGTTTTGCCTTTAACATTTTACGCAGTTGTTGAGTCTTATTTTGAGATTTGCACCAATTTTCACCTCAACGAGAAGAGAAGAACGAATTATTCTTTCCCTTTCTATTTGTTATACCATAATACCTATTCTATTGTAATAGACTCTCCCACCGATAATAAGTAATAGTAGCAGTGGCCAGTTGGGCTCAGTGGTGTTGAGCGAGTCAGTCGATATCGGACATTTAAGTATCAACCATCACAACTAGATTACTGCGTCATTAACTCTTATTTCAAGTTCCTAACGTTTTGTACGTCGAACCTAATTTAGGACGACTTATTGAAATACAAGCCTCCACTGTGAAAACTACTCTACAACACTATTCTTACTAACTTGGTATTTGTTTGTCACAAGAAATTAGATTTAGTAGGGAATCAGTCAGTCAGTTATGTGCCATGCGTGATACAAGCTAAAGCGATCATGTATCTTTCGATACATGACTGACGAGGCAGATTTTTTTCTTCAGTAGGTTGCCATTTTTTTCTGCGGTAGACCAGGCTATAGAACCCGGGTTGTCCTGCTATTTACCCATAGCTGGGGGGAGAAGAAGAGGATTCATATCTTTCCCTAGGGCCAGTCAGTTATGTGCCATGCGTGATACACGCTTAGGCGATTATGTATCTTTCGATACATGATTGACGAGGCAGATTTTTCCCGCAGTAGGTTGCCATTTCTTTCTGCTGTAGACCAGTTACCATCCAAGGCTATAGAACCCGGTCTGTTCTGCTATTTCCCCACAGCTGGGGGGAAGAAGGGGAGGATATTAGCAGGTAAGTGAATGTAATGGATTCAAATGTAATTCGAACTCGACTCTACGGTTCCTCAATCCGAGCCGCTATCCATTATTGCACCACAATTTTTATAATCTATGGTTTCTTAGCTAAGATGGTTAGGGCGTCTTCTTTTCTTATTCCATTTGCAAAATTTAAACCGAGATTTAAAGCCGCCATCTTTGTGAAAGAAAGTTTAGCACTAGAGATGTGAACAAGTTTCGGGTTACCGATCTTCCGAGGGTGTAAAAGTTGTATAGCTTACGGGACTGACGATATATGTGTTTGTTGTTTTTGTATAAAATCGTTTGTCATAAATTTTCGCCTCTGATGTGGGATAAATTTTTTTTCCTACCTGGCGTTTTTCCGACCGATATAGCCTTCTCATTTGTGAGCTTTTCTTGGTGCTTCAGTTCTTCTGAGCATGTAAGGAACTCTATGTTCAACCACAACCGTTTTAACCTAAATTCTTTCAATCCCATTCAAAACATCGCCCAACCAATATACGGACACTATCAGACAGAAATAAAAAAGACTATAAATACATGAACGCACACACGTTATCAAGCAAATCCCGAATAGACCAACTAAACTTTGAATACGCAAACAAACAAGATTTATACACACAAAGGCTACCTAAAAAGGCAAATACATGTGAGGCTTACATAACCAATGAATAGCAAACAGCACAAAAATGAAAATAGCATAATTTTATTTTCTCCTTCATATTTCATTACTGATGAAGCTTAATTAAAAATGAAACTAAAGTTGTAAATGTTTCCTATGTGTTTCTTATTGTATTATTCTGCCGGATTCTAATCTATACTTGATTTAGATTTTATCCTAATTATATATATATATATATATATATATATATATATATATATATATATATATATATATATATATGATAAAATATAATTTTATGAGTTAAATAATATATATAATATTTATGAGCTAAAGTGCTCAATATCAGGGATAGAGCATATGTAAATATAATAGTGGACATTGAATTCAACTCCTAGAGGCGACAGTCTGTTTCATGCTAAACTCCATCGTCAGGCTATATATATATATATTGACCAATAAAAAATATTAAAAAAATAAAATGTACAGATACACTGGGTTGTACATTAATATTCTTTCGTTTTTATTATTATTATTTTCATTTAGATTCCTCGACTAGTTTCGGCCAACATGGTCATCATCAGGAGAGAAAAATTTTCTGCTTCCTGGTCGCAGTGAACTATAGATGAGATTAAAACAACTCATAGAATAAATAATAAGCTCTACTATGTATTGAGCCCTCTTTTAAAAATTAAATGACAGTGGAATTATACTCTATTTGTTCTTATCCTATACCTGGATATATATATATATATATATATATATATATATATATACATGGGGGGGGGGGTTAAATGAACGTCTTAAAACTGAATTTTTCCCCTCGTATGTATTTTTCTAAAATATAAACGACTGAAATTTATATAATCACAGTAATGAATAATTTCCTAATAGTTCACGTGTCTCTCACATTCTTTTTTTAAATAAATATCTTGTCTGACAGAAAAAAAGATATTTATTCATTGTCGAATAACTTATATTTGGAAAGAGGCGTGCGCATGCGCACAAGAAACAAATGTATCGGTATCCATTTTGCAAATTAAAAAAATAACATTTTTATATAAAACAAAGCACAAAAAGCGCGTTAAAATTGTACATTTTTTAATTAATTTAATGTTGGCAGTACAATTAGTAATTAATGTGCAGTTGCATAAACTATGTCAGAGACACATATGATAGAAGCAAACGCGCTCCAACAAATTTACAAAACATAATTTTTTTATATGCGTGAGGTCAGCTGGACGGCTGCTAATAATACAGGAAGAAGTACATCCTTCAAAAGCGCATCGTCTCGTCTAGACATTATTATCAACCAATCAACGATGACACTGACAGAGACGAAAGGAAGTTGCCAACATCCAACCCTTCTGCTACACAATGTAAAAATGCCATTTAGTGTCATAAAACAAAAGAAAAGAAGAAGGGCGAGGAATTTATGAGTAAGTTGAGTAGGAATACATTACGATTCATACTTCCTCAACCTAGTGACATTTTTATATAGACTTTACTTAACACTTAGTACTTCTCTTTTACCTAACGTTATCTACTGACCTCAGATAGAAGCCATGGCTGGCGTGTCTCTGACCCCGGATGAGCTCGCAAATAATTTCGCTATTACTTGACATAGTTATATTTCAAGAAAATGTATTTTTATTAAAGGATATTTATTAAAGACTAGCTGAAAAGCCGCCTAATCGGGCGGCATTTAAGCTGGCTCCTGCGGAGGGCTCTTGATTGATACAATAGATAGGGAGGAGTAGATGCGATAGGCAACTATAAACTACAGAAGTACTCAAAAATGATCGCTGCATTTAGATATTGCATTAATATTTATGGCTTACCTTTTAGAAGTTCAACGATAATTCTTTTACCGCCACTTAATTTAAAGACATTTTTACGTACGTACAAACAATTATTTTTATTTCATGAGTGACTTTCGCAATTAATTTTGATTATCGCCAAATTTATTTCCAAGTTATAAAAATTATTATCGAACAAAAAAAATTCGCCGCCAAAAATCACGTAAAAAAATCACCGAAAACAATGACAGTAATGAAAACTTGGAAATCAAAAATTTCAGGATTGCGCGTCCCGATCCGGCCCGGTTTTTTTTTTTTTTTTTTCAATTTGCTCACAGAGTCGGCCTGATTTCAAAGTGGTATTTTATGTAGGGCTACGGCCTCTAGGAGTAAATTTGAAAACACGAACAATTTTAATTTGAAAAACTGTAATTTGAAAACAGTTTTTTTTTTTTTTTTATTTGAACATGAGTTATTGAAAGTTAGTGAGCTGTATCCCTTTATTTGTTTTTATCAGTTGAAGCCAAGATGGTGGAATCCGAAAATAATCGCAGTAATGAAAACTTGGGAATCCAAAATTTCAGGATTGCGGGTTCGGATCTGGTCCGAAATGTTTTTAATTTGCTCATGGAGTCGGCCTGATTCCAAAATGTTATGATATGTTGGGCTACAGCCTCTAGAAGTAAAGTTGAAAATGTGTGACACAAAGACATTCGCATTTTTATATAGAAGATGTGAGCTATTGAGAGTTGTGTCCCTTTAATTGAAAAAATATAACACAGTGACACACTGACATTGGCATTATTATATAGATTTGCTTAGTACGACAAAGAACGGTTATTTTGTGGAACAAACTGACGAAAGAACGCTTCCCCTACAACTTTAACTTCTTTATATCTCGTGTCAACCGTTATTTTTCATGCATAATATACACTTCTGACCTCCTGCTTTTACGTCTATAAAACCGTGGGCGGTAATAAAGTCACAGGAAAAAAGTCACAAATTAGCTAGGAAAAAGTCACAAGTTATATATTAAAAATATTTATGTTTACATGTGTTTTTAATGTTGATCATTAAAACGAAAATTCCATCTGACACCACAAAGAAAGTCCGCCACAAAACTTGTTAAATTACATCAGTTCTGCATCTTCCTTTACTGAGACTCATTGATATATTGACCTTTAAGCAAAGTGAGTATTCGACAGTTAAACTTTCTATTAAAAATCCACACAGAAAAAGGGTTAAACTGTTTCGTTTTTCCTGAGATATTTTTTTATCTGTGACTTTTTTCCTATAACATATTTTACCTGTGATTTTTTTAACTAGATTCTATAAATCAACCTCATTCAGTAACCCTTTATCTTGAATGCCTCTTGGGCCTCGTATTGGGTGTATGCCTTTTGGATATGCATATTGTTCAAAAGAGACCATATGAATAGGTCTCCCGGTGAGAATCGAGTAATTACACTAATAATTAATTGTCTCGTGGTAAGAGGCACCCAGTGAAAATCAAATTAATTGCTGATCTGTGAGACTAGCTTGCTTCACAAAGAGGCCCCACGATATTTACTTAGCTTAGTCTAGCCTGGTACAAGGCCGAAAATTTAATGCACCCAGTGAAGATTAAATGGACTGTGGAACTAGCATGGTAATCACTACGAAGCAAGTTACTATGTGTTTTTTTTTATTTTTTTACTAACTTACTAGGAAAGAAAAATATTAAGAACGCCCCAAAAGTGATGCCTTCAGCTATAAAACCTCCAACATAAATTATATTGTTTAATACACGGGGTCCTCGACTTACGACAGATTTCCGTTCCTAAGATCTGTCGTAACGCGATTTTCCATGTAAGTCGGATCGTATGCGCGATTTTCCGTGATTAAGCAATTACGTCACTCGCCTATGCTAACAAAATAAGTAATAATCAAGGACATAGCAACACATTTTTATGACATATGTTAACATAATTAGGACTAAATAAAACACATGAATAATATTGATAAAAGTAGCGAAAGAGAGCGAATGTCCAACAGTCCAATATGGCGTACAACCAGGAACTGACCCACGACGCCCGATGCAGGAGGTGAAAGGCATAAGTTGAAACACGATTAATGGAGATTGCTTCGTAATTACAAATCGTCGCAGGTCGGGACTACCGTAGCTCGGCGACTTACTGTATTTGCTATATTTAACGGGGAAGGGTACTCGATATGGGGGACAGAGCGTTTAAAGATATAGGCTGTTTTGGGGCAGAAAAATAATCACTGCACGATGATTCTCAGTCAGCTTTCACTAGATCATATATATCTACATGACACGCACACACAAACACACACACACACACACACACATATATATAGATAGATAGAGAGAGAGAGAGAGAGAGAGAGAGAGAGAGTGCAACAGACCTCCCATATTATGGTAAGGCATTAACTAAATGAATACACCACTCCAGCAAATGTCATACTATTAAGTGGGAAGTATTTCTGCCGCAAACAGTGACTATTACAGCTAATAATGCAAGACTCTTCGGTAAATCGAATCGAGTTCTCTCAGTCACTGTGTATTTATCTAAAAATAAATACGCTTAAATTCACCTTCATCCCAACGGCTTAGTGGTAGAATCCCCGACTGATTCAGTTGGGCTTCGATCCTAGCTAGAGGCAACCGGACGTCTAGCCACACTGATGAGCTGAAATACAGCGAAACAGTCTGTCTGTGGATGACGATATATATGCTCCTGAAAAATTCATTTCAGTTGAGCTCTCTGGGAAGGAAGTGTGGGTTTGTAAACAGTGACTATTACGGCTAATAATGTAAGACTCTTCGGTAAATCGAATCGAGTTCTCTCAATCACTGTGTTTATCTAAAAAATAAATTCGCTTAAACTCACGTCCTTCCCTGCGCCAACGGCTTAGTGGCAGACTCCCCGACTGACGCCAATTCAGTCGGGTTTCGATCCTAGCTAGAGGCAACCGGGCGTCTAACCACACTGATGAGCTATGATACAGCGAAACAGTTTGTCTGTGAATGACTATATATATATATATATATATACACACACACGAATAACAAAAATAAAGACTTTTCGTCCTCAAGGCAAATGCGAGGATTTTATTTTGCAACAAGTATTTATGAACAGATAAAATTTCATTAATTTTCTTAATTTAAAAATTATGAAAAACTAACGAAAAAAAACACTCACATATATGCTTCAGTTTTTATGATTTAATTATTATATATTTTATTTTACTTTGGAAAATTAATTTATGCATTTATATATTTTAAATAATAAAAAGTTTTTGAATTTAACGGCCTTCTTTTAATTTAAAAAAATATAGTAATGTATGTTGGATTTGGAATTAGTATATCTTTTAGGAAACGAGATATTTAAAAAAAAAACAAAAAAAAAACGGGGCGTAAATTTATATTTTGATATGATTCGGTAGCAGCACTCTCAAGAATTTTCCATCTAAGTGAATTACTTTCTCTTTTCATGAGTGTTTCAGTGTCTTTTCCTAAAGGTTTACATTGATTTTCAGTTAGCCTGAAGTATATTCATATTATCTTTTTGCAGATATATTTTAGTTACATCTGAATGTGTGTTGTGTCCCCATGATACAGATATAGAGATATTATTAATATAAAAATCAATCAATCAATCAATCTATCTATCTATCTATCTATCTATCTATCTATCTATCTATCATAGTTTGTTCAGGATCTATCTATCTAACTATCTGGTCAACCATCACAGCTCTTCAATGTGGAAAGAGAGATAGAGACTAATAATGATTAACACTGCATGGTAACTGTCAGTATCATTCCTGAAATGATTTTCAGAAACTAACTGTTGCCATGCAGCGAGACATTTATATCAACATCTATAATATACACACACACACACACACACACACATACATACATACATATATATATATAATTTTTTTTCCCTTCGGTTTTATTAATAAATTTGGATTTTAATTATGGTTCCTTTTTCTCCTCGTTATATTTTTTCTTTTCTCGCAGTGCGAATTGTTATTTAATATTTGCCAAAGTATTCTTCTGATGAAAACGAAAGTTCTGGTTGAAAAGGATCCTTAAAGAGGAATGCTTTCCTGCGCTTTCAAATCTCTCTCTCTCTCTCTCTCTCTCTCTCTCTCTCTCTCTCTCTCTCTCTCTATATATATATATATATATATATATATATATATGCCCCGGGAAATCTGGTTGAGCTTTGTAGGGAAAGGGTTTAAAAAAAGCAAAAAAACAACGGCTCCTGCTGCTATTAAGCATTGCTCTTCAAGTAAATTGAATTGAGTTCTGCGAGCCACTGGCGTATTTTCGTATAGAGAAAAAACGTTTTCTGCCGTGTGACGATGGCCTAGAGATAAGATATCGGATTGATGTCAAATCAATCGAGTTTCGATCCCGGACGTCTAGCTACACTGAAGGGCTGTGTTACAACGAAAAGGTCTGTCTATGGATGACTTTATATATATATATATATATATATATATATATATATATATATATATATATATATATATATATATATACACACACACATATATATATATATATATATATATATATATATATATATATATATATATATATATATATATATATATATACTAAAAATAATGGAAGCCATATTAATAAAAAACAAAATTAAACAACACTCAATAATATGAACTTGGACACAATATGTTGACAGTGTTTTGAAAATGAAACATATAAATACATACATGCAACAATCTATTTCAAGTTAACAGTTAATATATTTCATCCTTGAAAATGGCTAAATGTATAGTCGAAAACGCTCGGAAAAATATAACATTTGGACAGTTTATGTAATTTTTCTACTGAAAAGAAAAAAATTATAAGATCACATGAGAAATTATATAAAAAAACTAAATCAAAGCCCCTTGTCTGTCATATTTAATGAAACTTGCATATACATACATACATACGCACACACACACATATATCAATAAAACACACACACACATACATACACACACATACAGACACAGATATATATATATATATATATATATATATATATATATATATATATATAAGAAGATGAATTAGTTTTCAATGGATATTTTATTTGATACACTGAAAATATAATCCATTAACATACAGACTGGTAAACATCTGAAAGATACCAGCTTGTCTGTCTTGAAAAGCAGTATTCAATATTCACTCTTTTCCCTTGACCTATACAGCAGCTTCTGGGTGGCAGCAGTGTGGGTGGGAAGCTCGCTATGATATGAGTCTCCATGCAGGTCCATTAAATTGATTGATAGATATGAACATATTATCTCCACTCATGGCTTTTCAGTACACTTTTCGAAACCGAAACATCAAGAACTATGCACTAGTTCATCAATATCAATATCTAAAATAAAAGCTTATTATATATTTGCAAACTATTTAATGTATATACAATAATAGATTGCATTTGGCATCAGTAACCTTCGGTGATGCAGCCATTTTATTGTTCATGTTAAACCAAATATTTCTAGCGATTGGAAGAGTCGATTTCTTCTTTTACTTCCCTGTCTACCTTCATGGCGAATATTACAGGCAATTGCAAGAAATACAGAAAGAATTGGGCTTTTGATATTATAGATGCATTAAAGGAAAAATGATGCTTGTCACTAGCATGCCACAACAGTTTATAAAAAAAAAGCAAACTTCTTTATTTTTCTTTACTAAATTTTACCCAATACAAGCCCCAACAATCACTGAAGATAGTTGGTTACTCAATGAGGTATGTGACATGAACAGAAGAAGAGGATTGATTGATTGCTTTTTTTACGGTTTATCAACCCTCTGTGAGTTATTTGAAGTCGGAACATATTTCTTTGGATAGTAAGAATAATTCCTTTATTTTGCGAGTGAATATGGCATTAACAATTTTTTTTCGAAGCAACGGTAATTTTTCCAGATAAAAGTCGTACTTTTTAACCCATAGCTGAGTGAGAAGAGATGAATACATGCCTTTCCGAAGAGTATTTACGCGTAAGTGAATATAACGATCTCGATTATGCTATACTTATCGTTTAAAGTGTTCAATATCAGGAACAAACAACGCTATAAAATGGCTACAAAACTGCATTTGTATCCTTTTTTTTTTTTTTTTAAGCATTTCACCCCAAGCAAGGCGGGAAGCCACTAGGACGCAAGGGGTTACAGAAAATAGCAAGATCAGATAGGAGTGATAGAAGAAAGGATGAGGGTAGTGGATAGATTAAGGCAACTGGAGATGTTGATTGACATTACACTTGAATAGCTGGAGATTATAGCTCACAGGGAAACAGGAATAGGGAAGGGAGTTCCACAGGCGAGAGGTGCGAGACATGAAGCTATTAGAGTAGAAGAGACGGCTACATTTAGGAGTTTCGACAGTGAAGGGGTGAGAGCGGGATGCCAGCCTCGTAAGGCGCTGGAACTCATGACGTCTGGGAACCAGCGAATGCAGTTCCTCGGAGCAATTTCCATGAAAGTATTTGTAGCGTCTCGTCTACAGTCACTTTCTCACAGACGGGCCGACGCCTCCCTCTGTCTGTTCCACAATTATTTCTACTCAGTAACCCTTAGAATAATTTGAAATATAAGCTATTACTGCCCACCCAATAACAGTTAGAATGATACAATAGACCTACCCATAATTCACCTCCGACCAGGATATATAAATAGTCGTGCCACTATATTAGACTTGGTTATAGTAGCCAAAACCACTCAGCGACTTCGTTCAAATATATCCCTTTCCGGGATATATCAATATATATTAAAAAGAAGAGAGAAACCACAAACGTTTTCGGTTGCAATGTGGATTTTTTTAAAAATATATATATATTATGCTTTATTTTCCATAATTTTGCAACACGTGTTTCGGGTCTCGCGATCTTCTTCAGGAAAAGAGTAGATATTTCCACATATTATTAAAATAAATTAAATTTCTTTATGTTTTTCGATGTTAAACATTTTCTATGTTAAACATCCTCTTTTTTGTGTGGTAGTGACACAAATGTCTTTCTTGAACTGGCAGTTAGAAAGTTCTTCTGTCTGAAGGGTAATAAAACAATTAAGATTGGTCCGAAAAAGGGTGAGGAAAGATATCTGTGTGTTCTTAGATCAATTTCCTTTTTTTTTGTATTGTGTGTGTTTTTGTTAGTATGCGTATGTATATTTATATTCCCACTCCATACATACATACGGTCATATTATAAGGAATTAGTACACACACACACACACACACACACACACACACACACACACACACACACATATATATATATATATATATATATATATATATATATATATATATATATATATATATATATATTCTGTTTATACATTATTTTTATAGATACAATTTATTTAAGTAAATGCTCTATTTTTAATTAAACAACATTAATTACATTTACTGGCCTGAATGTTCGAGAAATTTAGTAGAAAATATGCGTTCTCCGACAAGAATCGAATCTGTATTCATATACAGAAACAGTCATTTGATCTGACGTGCTATACCATTCACCTACAGAGAGGCGTCTGGTTAGCAAAGTCCGAATTACTGTTTATAAACACACAATCTTCAACGATACTTTCCGAATGATCATATCTATTCACGAGGCGTATCTTAACGTAAACAATGACAATATATAATAAAATGGATTAAGTTCGACAATTATTTAATATATTTTCTGTTTATACGTTATTTTCTATAGATACAATTTATTAAAAATTCAGGCCGGTAATAAATTCCAGTTTCGTTTTCGAGGCATTAAAATTAACAAGCCACTTCTTGCCCAAACACAAATGTACAGGGATTGTCTAACCGTCTTCGTGCGTGACGAGTGTCTTCGGGAAACGTGATTAGCCGGCCAATAGGACAAATTGTATCTAATTTTAATATGGATACAAGAATGAAGAAAAAAGCAAATTTAGTTGCAGGGGAATTAAACATTAACCCTCGATAAAATAGTAGGGTGTCGTGGTGGAGTGGCTTGCATACTCACATGACCCGGAAAACTATTCTGACTGGAGCTTATCTCCTGACAGATCCACCTTAGCAAGATGGATCAATGAGTAGGAATTAAATCCTTAGAGGAACAAACTTCAATGGCAAAAAGTCTTGGAGTGGGCAGCAGCTCTCCAGTTGCATTGATAGACAAACATCAACAAACCGCTGTGACTTGACATTCAACGACGTTTAGTGGATGGTAAGCAAGCAACTACAATGGCATAGACTAATCAACTCTACTCAACTGAATACTGTGATTGCTAGAAGGAATTGCAACCACTAATACAGATTCGTATTCTTGACAAAATCCAAAGAAGAATCGGCAATGTTATCGGTCTTGACCCGGCATCACGGTTTCAGTCATATTCCCGCTGCTATAACCTAGCTTACCCGTGACTCTTCAATAAATATTTTAATGGTAATTGTTCTGATGAGCTAACCTCTTAATTTTAATGGTAATTGTTCTGAAGAGCTTACCTCTTAATTTTAATGGTAATTGTTCTGATGAGCTAACCTCTTAATTTTAATGGTAATTGTTCTGGTAAGCTTATCTCTTAATTTTAATGCTAATTGTTGAGATGAGCTTACCTCTTCAGTACTTTGACTTCACGAATTTAAGCGCAATACTAGTTAATGCACTTGATACTATAATAGATTGGCAGCTACCTATATTTCATAATTTCATTGTTTAAATTCTTAGTTGTAACCGTAAGTTCTAAGCTAATAGTTTCTACTATCGCACTTCTCGCTTGTGTAACTCTCTCAAGGCTTTCTGACTTCATGCCAATTCGGATATTCAAAAATCTAAATGCTGTGTCAATCGTCATCTCCAGGGCCGCATTATCCTTTAGGCTAGTAAAGCCTGCAACCTAGGGCCTCTCAATCTTTTATAAAGCAATGATTTTAATTTTCTAGATGTTATAACTTCTAAATAGTTTCATAAATTGAAATAATATCAATATGACAGACTCATATTTATTTAACTGTGGTTCAACTAGATGAAATGTTAGTTCAGAATGTTTAAATATTTGAAATTTTTATAAAGCAATGATTTTAATTTTCTCTGTATATTATAACTTTTAAATAGCTTTATAAACTGAAATGATACCAATGAGAAATTAATTCATTTTGATTGCTTTATTCTTGTAATGATGGTTATCAAAAAATCTGTTTTTGAAAAATGTGCTAATTTGGTTTGCAATAAATAGTAAAATAGTGTTATATCTTAAAGATTATATTTTTAACAAACAAAAGATGGCTATTCTAGTTTATTTAAAGAATTTGCAATAAGTTTACTTCAAGTTATGTAAATGTCACTAAAATATATCTCAAGTAAAAAATATTAAAGATGGGTGCGGCTGAGTTAGAGGGTGGCTAAATCTGTGATGGTGCATAATTTCATTAGCCTAGATGCCCCAAAAGGTCATAATCCAGCTCTGCTTACAGGATTTCTTCATTTGGAGCTATTTCTATTTTTAACCATTCATATGAGAAAGTAGTTGTGTACAAATGACAGTTTACACAGAAGTTTATCCTTTGTTTCCTCTTTAGGATTGGGTTTCCAATTCTTTCTACTAAAGTCTTCTCATTCTTTTTCATTCCCAGTACTTGCCCTTGCGTCTTAGTGGCATTATCGCCTTGCTTAGTGGGTAACTGATTTTAAAAAAATGAGTCATATTCATTTGACTTTGCAGGAAGTAAAACAAGGAAAAGAATGTTTCAGATTGTGTCATTGTGGTTCAAGTAAACGACATTTTTATTTTAGTTCAGAATGTTTAAATATTAGAAAAAATTTTTAAAGAACATTTTTTATATTTTTAATTTTCCATATATATTATAACTTTTAAATAGTTTCATAAATTGAAATTCATTTTGATTGCTTTATTCTTGTAATGCTGGTTATCAAAAAATCTGTTTTTGAAAAATGTGCTAATTTGGTTTGCAATAAATAATAAAATAGTGTTATATCTTAAAGATTATATTTTTAACAAACAAAAGATGGCTATTCTAGTTTATTTAAAGAATTTGCAATAAGTTTACTTCAAGCTATGTAAATGTCACTAAAATATATCACGAGTGAAAACTATTCAAACAGGTGCGGGTGAGTTAGTGGGGCGTGGGCGATAATTCAATTAACCTAAAGGCCATAATCAGGCCCTGATCATCTCCTATCGCGTTGAAACCTGTTCTTTTGTTGTTCTCTTTGTTTCTTTCACCCTCAGTAACCCGTTGGGGCTCTTATCACAATACCTGGTGTGAAATGATTTAAAAAAAAAAAGCGTGAAAGCAACTAAAAAAAAAATGGGTATGAATATTAAATTGAATTGTTCATACCACATTACTCCTGGCACGTCGCCAGTAGAAAGCCAGGTTGGGAGATAGAGAAGAATAAAGAAACTAGTTAATGGTGTTCGAACTCACTCGGAATAAACTAAAAGAACTCTTGGACAAGGTAGTAAAGGAGAGCAAGAAGAAAGGACTATTTACTGTAAGCGGTTGTCTGTAAAAGATGCAACCTCCCAGATGCGAGTTACTCACTGGAGACTCAAGCAGTTAGTAACAGACGCCAGAAAATTTGATATACAAATCTGAAGCTGCATAGGAATAGCAAAATTATTAGGTGATTCGGAAAATAATATCCGATTTTAGAATCAACATTTTTCCTGAGTTAATGCGTTTAAACAGTGTTTAAATTAGTCAAAATAAGGACCCTAAACATCTATATATTTTCTGTCACCGAGTGACAATGTCATTTATGCCTTTACGATAAAACTCTAAAGTTTTGAACGCCAAGAAATATTTGAATGCAGTTTCTAAATCTTTGTGAAAGAAAGTCTTTCAGCTTAAAGATTTTGTCAAGATGATTTAATAAGTGGTCATTAATAGGCGAGAAATCAAGAGAATATGGTGAATGTGACAAAGTATCATGTCTCAAATCGTTAACCTTTTGTAGTTGCTGATTTCTTTGTGTAGTGTCCTATATTCTGTTCCATGTCTTGGTATTGTTTTTTTTGTCTCCTTTTCATTATATCGAGAATTTCATGTCATCTATTCATTTTTCTTTGGGATGATCTCGATTATTGATGTTACTAAAGCTTCTCTTAATGTGCACCTGTTTGAGTTTCCATTTTCATTTTGTCTATTGTATCTGCTTTTTATATTGTCAATACATTTTTCTTTCAGCGTCGGGTCGTTCAAGAGTCTGCCGTATTTCAGTTTGGGTTCTGCCTTAGTCCTCTTCAATTTCCGTAGTTTTATTCAAAGTTTACATATCACAGGAAGGTGGTCGCTTCCACATTCGGTACTTGGATATGTTTTACAGTATAAAATTTGCATTCCCGAATCTCTTGTTGATAGTTATATAGTCGATTTGGTTTTTTGTTTCA